ACTTTGTACTCCCATGACTTTTTGAATACAGGTAAGTCATATTTTTTACATAATGACCAGTGGATTAATTTAGCAACTCGGTCATGTCTAGCTTTGTAATCAGTTTGTGCAATTTTGCTGCATTCACATATTAAATGTGGAACAGTTTCGACTTTATTATTGCATAGTCGGCAGTTTGGATTGTCAGTGGATTTTTGTATCTTCGCTTTCATGGCATTAGTTTGTAGTGCTTGTTCTTGAGCAGCGAGTATTAAACCTTCTGTTTCTTTCTTGATGGTTCCCATCTTAAGCCATGCCCATGTAAGGGTGTCATCACATTTTCCTTCAATGTTTTTCAAGTATTGTCTATGCAAAGCTTTGGTTTTCCATCTATTTAATCTGTTTAAATCTATGATGATGATGATGATGATGATGATGATGATGATGATGATGATGATTTTCATCGTCAGTCAGCCAGATATTCAGATTGGGTTTGGCATTTTTGTCTACCTACCGAGTCCTTACTAAGGACCTGGGGTAGGCAAATCTGGTGGTGGTGGCTGTTATTAAATATACAACAAGGTTTTGTGATATCTTTTTAATGAATGGCTTTGACTATATAACCTTATTACCTCCAAATCAACAATCACGTTTGGAATATAAGATCCTTTCAAAATATTTAGGTTGCTTGTTTTAGAATCTCCCCTTTTATTTAGGAAAAATACAAACAATGCATAAGTTTTTCTAATTAAAAAAAAAGCCTGCCTATTTCAAGTGTCAGGAATCAAGTGATTCTGACATTTATCTAAAATTAGCAATACTCACATCAGTAATTATTGAAGCAACACATCTAAGATTTTTGCTTGCTGTGGCTTGTTTAATGCTAACTTGTAGCACCGCAATAGCTGTAAAGTAAGATCATTATGAAAAAGTTGCTCTGGTAATGCATTGGTATAATTCTTTGTGGTAGTGGAGGGGGAGCTGTTGATGTTTTGTGTGCACTAACTATCTCACTCTCTGTTTTCAGGTTTTATGTTGGGAGAAGATGCCAATATTTATTTAACTTGAGTAAATAATTTTACAATCCTCTAATGGCACGTCAATGTCAAAGTTATTTCTGCATTATGAACTGATGAGGATGTGGAAATTTTAGTTGGTCTAAGGAGAATCTTCCCTATCCCTTTCCCCAATGGTGGGTTTCAAAAATTCTTACTACCGATTCTATGGGTGTGGCTTGGTGGGCGTGGCATGGCTTGGTGGGCGTGGCTTGGTGGGCGTGGAAGGGGAAGGATACTGTAAAATCTCCATTCCCTCCCCAATCCAAGGGAAGGTTACTGCAAAATCCCCATTCCCTCCCCACTCCAGGGGAAGGATACTGCAAAATCTCCATTTCCTCCCAATCAGCTGGGACTCGGGAGGAAGAGAATAGATGGGGGCGGGGCCAGTTAGAATTTTTACTACCGAACTACTCAAAATTTCCACTACTGGTTCTCCAGAACTGGTCAGAACCTGCTGAAACCCACCTCTGCCTTTCCCTCCTTGGACACAAGATTTGGAATATGGTTAATGGATATATTTCCTGCCCTTTTATCATTGACCACTTCCAGCCATAAGCATTAGTGGTGGAAATTCAATCATAAAATGAGCTCTCCATAAAAGAGAACCTACAGTATATCACAACCTCCTTCTTGGAGAAAATCTATTTATGCAGTTGCTAAGCATTAACACCCACTTGATAGCTCTTAATCAATCTATCAATCAGTCTGATTCCCCAATATGTAATGCAATCACAGTCAGAATCCTAATCCTGTTCAGTTTTCTGTACTCAGCACAAAGGTATGTGAGAGAAAGGTTTCCACATATACAACTTCTTGTACACTGGGGGCAATATGCTGACTCTGTAAACCGCTTAGAGAGGACTGTAAAGCACTGCAAAGCAGTATATAAGTCTAAGTGCTATTGCTATTACACATTCTAAGCCCTAGCATTATGCACAATGCGGCTAATGGGTCTCACTGTAAGCATTATATAATCATTCATATTACTAATGTTCTGAATACAGTACAGCTGAATAGAATAGCTGAAGAATAAGTGGCCACTGAATAAATGGCCTGTGCAGTGATAGGTGTATGTTTTTGCATGACTACGCATACAGATAGTCCTCAACTTACAAGTTATGGCCACTGAAAAAAAAAATGTCTTATGACCGTTTTTCATACTTATGACCAATGAAGCATGTCCATAATCAAAATTTGGGTGCTTGGCAACTGGCATGTATTTATTACAGTTGCGCTGTACTAAGCTCACCATTTGTAACCTCACCAGTCAGCTTCTGACAAGCAAAGTCAATGGGAGAAACCAGATTCTCTTAACAACCGCACAATTCACTGCAGTGATTTAGTATAGAATAGAATAATAGAGTTGGAAGGGACCTTAGAGGTTTTCTAGTCCAACCCCCTGCTTAGGCAGGAAACCCTACACCATATCAGACAAATGGTTATCCAACATCTTCTTAAAAACTTCCAGTGTTGGAGCATTCACAACTTCTGGAGGCAAGTTGTTCCACTGATTAATTGTTCTAACTGTCAGGAAATTTCTCCTTAGTTCTAGGTTGCTTCTCTCCTTGATTAGTTTCCACTCATTGCTTCTTGTCCTGCCCTCAGGTCCTTTGGAGAATAGCTTGACTCCTTCTTCTTTGTGGCAGCCCCTGAGATATTGGAACACTGTTATCACATCTCCCCTAGTCCTTCTTTTCATTAAACTAGACATACCCAGTTCCTGCAACCGTTCTTCATATGTTTTAGCCTTCAGTCCCCTAATCATTTTTGTTGCTCTTCTCTGCACTCTTTCTAGAGTCTCTTTTACATCGTGGCGACCAAAACTGAATGCAGTATTCCAAGTGTGACCTTACCAAGGCATTATAAAATGGTATTTTCTTAACAAGTGTAGCAAAAGGAAGCACCGTTTGCTGAACAACTGTCTTGCTTACCCGCAGACATTTTGGGCTCAATTGTGGTTATAAATCACTCATTCAGCACTTCTGATTTCTTCCAATTCAGTTGCCTCTGATTCTCAGAGACTGCCTGGGGAAGTCCCTGCAGTTTTCTTGGCAAGGTTTTTCAGAGGTAGGTTGCCATTGCTTCTGTCAGACTTCGATGCTATCTCAAAATAAATGAATTTCCAAACTGCCAATCTTTAAGGAAATATTTTCTTTAATGGAGCATGACTCGATGCGGATAAGACTGACCTTTTGCCCCCCAATCCCTCCCTTTCCGATCCCCCAATCTCTGCTTCTCACTGGCTATCTTCAAGTCATTCTTCAGACTTCTTGTCTCGTCATTTCCCAGGAATGTTCCCCCCCTCTTCATTTCCACGACAACCCAACTTCAAAGGGATTTAGCAGGCAAAAGTTCAGAGCTTATCTCTCTCTCTCTATGCCAGCATTGAAGCGCTGACAGCTTCCTTCCTAGAGCAGAGAGAAAGTGACTGGCTTCATGCCTAAGGTGGTAAGACTAGAACTCACATTATCTCAATTTCTAGCCTCACGCCTTAACCCAGGGGTTAAGCTGGCTGGAGAATTCTGGGAGTTGAAGTCCAGAAGTCTTAAAGCTGCCAAGTTTGAAGACCTCTGCCTTAACCGCTACATTAAACTAGCTCTATTTTGCACTTAGATTTTCAGATCACTTATCCATCACCTTTCTTTCTTTCTATTTTCCCAGCATCATCTCATGTCTAGTCAGAAGAAGTCTAGCTGAATTCAATAGGATTTACTATCTGGTATGGGATAGGTTTACAGGAACTGCATCCTAATTTTATCATCTTTGAGAATGAAAATGGAAAATTCACTTCAATGTTGATAGTGACAATTACCACGATTAGGAGATTTTGAACATAAGGAAGAAAGGGCAAGGCTGTCTGTTTCCTGAGCAAAATCATTCAACACCTGCCTAATGACATAAACAGTAAAAAAAAAAAAAAAAGCCCTTGAAGAATAAAACCTCTTGAAGTTGGTTTTTAAATGCCAATACAATCTGGATTATATTTTTCAATTGTTGCAGTGACATATTTTTTGACAACCCTTCAGCTCCAAAAATAAAGGAACAGAGATGCACATTTGAGCCTTTCCGTGCAAGATTTTAAAAAAATGGAATGCTTCCTCTCATCAGATAGTAAATGAGTCATGGCACTGTATTTCATTATAATTTAAAGTGGCTAACCCAACAAGGATTCAACAGTTAATTCAGAATTCTAGTTGATGAGAAACTATAGGAGGCAACTGGACTTTCTTGTTTTTTCTTTGAAGACATTTTGCTTCTCATCCAAGAAGCTTCTTCAGTTCTGCCTGGGTGGTGGGGAATGGAAAGTTTTATACGCCTTACAGACAGCTGGTCATTTGCATTCTTTTTAGAGAGCCGTTGAGGCCACTTGGAGGTTTATCTGTGTCTTCAGGGTCACCTGAGTAGTGCAAATGGGTGTGGAGCAGTGGTGGGTTCCTCCCGGTTCCGCCGAGCCAGTAGCGGTGACAATATGACATCACCGAACTGGTTCTGCTCTCCTCGCCCGCCCCCTGCACCCCCACCCCCCGCGTTATTCTTACCTTTTATTTGGCCCTATCCCCAATCTATTGCTGCCTCCTGACTCCCATCTGAAGGCTAGAGGGAAAAAAACTGTTTAAACTCTTGTTGGGAGGCTTCAAAGTGCCGCCCTACAGCTGATCAGTGTTAAAAGAAAACAAATGAGTAGATGCCTGCAAAAATAAATGGGTAGACTAGTGCCTGCAAAAATTCATGAGTAGATCAGTGTCTGCAAAAATAAATGGGTAGACCAGTGCCTGCAAAAATACATGAGTAGATCAGTGCCTGCAAAAATAAATGGGTAGATCGATACAGCTCTGCAAGCAGTTAAAAGCCTGGTAGACCAGTACCTCTGCTAAATCCTAAATAATTGTCACATGACCATCAAGCCATGCCCACAAAATAAGCCACACCCACAGATCTGGTAGTAAAAAATTTAGAACCCACCTGTGGTGTGGAGCCTTCTTGGCTACAGGATGTTTTCTGCCCTGTTTCCCTTCCCGGTTGAAGAAAGGTGCAGGCTGTCAGGGATGAGTCTGCATTGTCTGCATCCCAAATGGTTCCTGAGAAGCAAAACGTCTTCAAAGAAAAAAACCAGAAAGTCCAGTTGCCTCCTGAAAAAAGCACCTTTGGGACAACCATGACCTGGATAACTGAAAATCTCCATAGACTATGAGAAACTATAGTTGACTTCCCATCTGAATACAGTTCTAGTAGCATTCAGCACTTACAACCAACTGCTGAGCCTTGGTCTTCTACCAGAGCCAACCAAAGCTGATTCTTGTTTTGGGTTCCTCTTACAGGAATGGGAACAAGAAGGACCTTCTCTGTGATTGGAAACTCTGCTTTATCATGCAGAGGACACATGTGGCAGAACTAAACACATTTGAGGACAAATGTGGCAGAACTAAACCACATTGGGGCAAAGGAGAAGGAACCAGCAAGCTTAGTCTTGTACTTTACAAATTTAGGAGCTTCATGCTGTGTTTATGAGAGAATTAAAATTAAACCACAATGTTGCCACTGCATCTCCCAGCCTGAAATGCTTATTCCAAACCACTGTGGTCTAATATTAATCCTTCATGATAAGTCATTAGCGCCCATTAAAAGATAGCTGTTGCTTTTTAAAAATTCTCTTTAGTCTCTGCAGGTCTTTCTTCAACTGAATCGATTAAACTTTGGTACAGTGCTTTTTTCCCTTTCTTAATCAAAAGCAGTCCTAAGTGGATTGAGTGATTCAATCAACCCATTAGTCAAGTGCCTTTAGTGTGAAGAAACCAATGGTGAAAAAGTAAAATGCTTGTTCATTAGATCCACAAATTAAAAGCATCATTACAAAATGGTATACTAAACATGATTTGTAGCCAGCTTGTCAGAAATATTGTATATATAGAGCTTAACAGAGTAAGAAAGCCAGGTCTTAATTTCATTTCAATACAAATGTTTTCTTTCTCAAAATAAAATATTTTGATATGCTAAAGCAGTGGTTCTCAACCTGTGGGTCAGGACCCCTTTGAGGGTCGAACAACCCTTTCACAGGGGTCGCCTAAGACCATCGGAAAACACATATTTTCAATGGTTTTAGGAATAATTTTATGGTTGGGGGTCACCACAACATGAGGAACTGTATTAAAGGGTCGCGGCATTAGGAAGGTTGAGAAACGCCTATCTCCTATGAACTCTACATAGCAGTTGACAGAATATGCAGAAATTAAAAGGCATATGTAGAGTTAATTCACAAAATGCATACTCTGTTGTAGTTTATTTCTTATCGTTACAGAATAGTTGTCCCTAAATGGATGAACAAGATGTTCTAAGTATCATCAATGAATCCACAGAATGCATAGACCACACCTGCTACCACTTTCCTGCCATCCATTCATACATGATATTGTAGGATATGAACCATAATACTGTTGGGCTGAACAACAGAATTCCAAACTCATAGGAAGTCCAACTCTAAACCTTTCCTCCCATAGTTTGTAGAGATTCTCAGTCATCCAGGTCATGGTTGTCCCAAAGGTGCTTTTTCAGGAGGCAACTGGACTTTCTTGTTTTTTCTTTGAAGACGTTTCACTTCTCATCCAAGAAGCTTCTTCAACTCTGACAGAATAGTGGGGAATTGAAGGATTTATACTCCTTGCAAACAGCTAGTCATTTGCGTCCTTTTAGAAAACAAGAAAATCCAGTTGCCTTCTGAAAAAGCACCTTTGGGACTTTTCTCCCATAGGTTGAAAACACAGCACATCACTAGGAACATGAGTGAAAATAATTTCTGTTTGACCGATTTCTTATCCTCTTGGTACAGTCCTTTCACAAGAATACAGTAGGATTAGTCTTAGCCCTAAGCTTGATTTAGACTTGTCTGCAACTGCATGTAGGCATCATTATATATCTACGTAGCGAAACGCATGATGGGTAAGCATAGGCTGTAGATGGTTGCAGTGGGCTGACGGACATACCTCTCAACTACTTGTGTGGAGATATGCCTCATGCATACTGATTGGTTGATCTGATTTCCTGTTGGTAGGCGGGCAGAAAGCAAGGCACATTCAAGGATAGATACAGAAGTATAAATGTAACAGCTATGCAACCATCTCCAAACAACAAGCACATTCGTTCCCTGATATATAGCGACACAGAAGTCTAACCCAAGCTTTCGACAGAATGATCCAGCTGATATTGGCTAAAGAGTGAGGTGTTGGAGCATACAACTATATATATCACACTATCCCAGCGGTCACCAACTGGTAGTCCATGGACCACTAGTGGTCCGCGAGAAAATTTTGGTGGTCCGCAGAAAAATTATTTGCATTTTTATATTGCACTAAATCAGGGGTCCTCAAACTATGGCCCCTGGGCCGGATATGTGGAATGAATGTTTGTGTTACTGCAGAGAGTCTCTCCCTTTTGGGTCTTTTTGTGTGGGCCGGAGGGGGGCAGAAATTCCAACATGCGGTCTGCTTCAGCCTCCTGGTGCGGGGCTGGAGGAAGTGCCGCTGGTGGCAAAAAGCCGGAGGGCCTTGTTCCAGTGGGACTGCATCACGGCCTGGACCTGGCTGACCATCTCAGCCCACTGAGCCTCCAGGCACCAGTACCTGGCCTTGAAGGTCTTCCCTCTGCTTGGAAAGCCTATGCTCCTAGTCCTCGGTGAGGTGCTTCTGCTAAGTCTCCTTCTTGGTCAGATCCAATTTGAACTGAGCTGTTTTGCCAACTCTTTCTCATGGTGGCTGCTTAACTCCAATAACTGCTTCCTGTTGGGGCACTAAGGAGCCTGGGTGGGCAAGCGAGGAGGGGCTGGGAGAGGAGGGGCAAATAGAAGCCAGCGAGGTGCCCCTCAACATGAGTGACATCAAGTTGACCACACCCACCCAGTCACATGACCACCTAGCCATGCTCACCCAGCCGGTCATTAGGCAGATCATATTAGTGGTCTGTGGGATTAAAAATTATGAATTTAATGATCCCAGAGGTCTGAAAGGTTGGCGACCCCTGCTCTATCCTATATCTTTCATAATCGCCAGCAATTCATTAAACAAACGTACAGTTTTATAGGATGGGATTTGAATGGTGGGTTGTCCCTTCATTCTTAAACAAAATATCCTGCATCAGCCCTAAACATAAGAAGTCCAAGTCTCCTTGCTATATTTTTAGCTTTGCTGTCAATAATATATGCAAGTTTGTGCATGTGTGAGAGTGATACATATTCAATAATTGAACTGCCTTAAAAAACGCATTAGTAGTCACATCCCCATCAATGCTCAGGTGACTATATTCTGCAGGGGCTGATGTTTTCTGACTGACTTCAAAAACAGCTCTGTTCAGAATACATTAGTATTATTCATAGTCCCAGGGTGAGGCAGTATATTCACAGCAGGCAAGCGTACACTGAGGAACTGTTCATGCCAACGTTTCTGAAAACAGTCAGACAATTGTTTGTTTGATTGATATTTATAGCCTGTCTTTCCTCCAGGGAGTTCAGGGTGATGATCATGAGTCTCTGCCCTTCTTTTTATCCTCAGAACAACACACTGAGATAGGTTTGTGCTGAGAGAATATAACATTTTCATCATGTCATGGGCATCAGTGAGTACCAGGGAGTGAGGGGTTAATGCTTTGAAGGTTTACAAATTTAAGAAAGTGATATTTGAATTCATTGCAAAGGGGTGGGGGGAATTACATCCCTACAAGATCAAGATCAAGCAAATTCCAGGAGTCTATTGATAGTCATTCACAATTCTTCATTTTTCTCAGTTCTGGTTAAACAATCATTGTATCGCTGTTATTATTTATCTCTAGATAAATCCTATCTAGCATCAAATCCTTGACAGGTGAAATCAGCGCAAACCAGATTGGATATGTAACATGACCGAAGTTCAGATTTGAGCAAGAGAAAAGATATGCCCTGGCAAGCCTGAAATTGCTATAGGGAAAAATACTCTTCTACTGTCAAAAAATGTTTCTGTTTTGGTCTGAAAGAAATCAACATTTTTATCAGCCTGACATAAGTTTCTGCTTTTCCTGTCTTTTTTCATTCCTTGTGGAATAAATTCTGTGAGATAAACTGGTAAGATGACAACTTCTGACACTCTTGACATTATTCTAATGTTAAGGAAGGGCAAAACCTGATTACAAAGAATCCAGAATTATTTCTCTCCATTTTGCTGACATGTTGACACTCTGAATTATGTATTACAACCACAAAAAAGTAACATTTTTTCTTCTATGTCCACAATCGTTTCACAGCAAAAACCAGCTAAAAAGTTGCACATAATAGTGATCCAAGGAACCAAAGTGATATTCCAAAGTTTTTTTTTATTATTTTGCGATACTCAAGCTATAACTTGAGCCACATGTGCTTTAGCTACATTTCTGATTCCTCTTTGAATGAATGCACATCAATATGAAATCTTTTTTACAGCTTCTGAGACATAAAACCTAAACAGGAATCAGGAAAAAAAATCAATTGCATTTCATAATTAGTTTCCAAAAGTTGAGCTGCTTTTTTATATGGCAACATGTCACTAAGAGAGAGTCAAAATACTTGAACGACCTATATATTTTTCTATGTCGTTCCTTAAACTATTAAGAATTCTAGTGTAAGCAAATTACACTATTTTTTTTCATTCTACATCATGTTTTCTGCTTTCTTACTGTCTCCTTTCCATTGCCTACCTGCCTGCCTGCCTACCTTCTACAGATGTTTCTCTACAGCCTTCAGCCACCCATGTAGCAGTCCCAATCTCTCCTACAGCTGGATTCTTACAGCCAATTGTACAACCATTAGTCACTGAGCAGTAAAATCACATCTGGACAATGGCATCTGCAATCAAGCCCATCTAGCATTGTGTATACAGGCCATTCTCAAGTTACAACTGTAACGGAATCTGCCCATCATGGAACCCTTCAGGATATTGGAAGACAGATTTCAACAATATTGATCCAGATAAACATTTAAGATCTTCTCTAGCCAACCTGCTATGCATAAAGGCAACTATTCTGGGCGTAA